CAGCAATTCCATTCTAAGACCTAGTAACTCCATTCATAAAATATCTGCATGCACTGATATTTGTATATGTAAAAAGACAAGATGCTAAATAGCATAAGCAGTGCATGTATGAGTCCTGATCTGGGGGAAGGAAAAATGAAAAAGGTGTCTGTGCTATTCCAGAATGATCCTAAGAGCACATTTGGGAGGTTCCAACCTCGGTCTGCCCCTAACCAGTATGTGACCTTGGATGGCACCTTTCCTCTCTAAGTTCCATCCCCCACCCCACCCCCACCCCCCGAAAAAAACAAGGATGAGAGTTACGACCTCCTGGTGGGGTTACTGAGAGGATTAACGGAGAAAATGAATGTAAATGCCCAGCACCTCTCCCAGAGTGAGTACTCAAAATTACATTAGTTAGAATAGAAAACCATTCCCTATACTTCAATTAAAAAACAAGATCATTTCCCTTGTGACAGGATGGGAACAAAGATTTTTTAACTTTTTTAAAGACCCCTTTAAAATGTATTCAGTAAATAAATTCAAATCTACAAAAAGGTTACAAGAATAATGAAAGGATACCTGTATACTCTTTACCCAGAGCCATCAATTATTAGCGTTTGACGTATTTGTGCTACCTCTTCCTTATTTTTCTCCTGAGCCATTTTATTTCCCTTTACCTTAAATACTTTCAGCATTTATTTCTTAAGAATGGAGACATTCTCTTACATAACCCAAGTACAACTATCAAATTCTGGAAATCGAACATCCATATAATATGATCACCTTTTCTACAATACTGGTCAAATATCAAATATTCTAATAACATCTTTTTTAAACTGTGGTTTTACAAAATCATAACATAAATCTTACCATGTTAACCATTTCTAAGTGTACAGTTAAGTAGCATTAAATATATTCACTTTCCTGTGCCAATAATATCTTTTATAGCAATTGTTTACCTCCATCCAAGATCACACATTGCATTTAGTTTATCTTGTGTTTTTTCTAGTTTCTTATAATCTGGAACAATTCCACAGCCTTCCCTTGTCAATGGTTTTCAGGACACAGGTGTTTTGAAGAGTTCAGATCAACTGTAATTTTGCAATTTTATGTGCTTTTTTTCGTGGAGAAGCTAATATTGAAGGTATGATGAGTATAATAATAAATGGAAACATGAAAATGTCCATAGTGTTTTTTTTCTCCCATTTTTGGTAGAAAGAAAACCTGGAGTCTGTCCCATCTTTTAAAATATCCTTGGGCTACATGCAGGATCTTTATGGTGATGGAAATGTTCTATATCTTGACTGTTTCAATGTCAGTATCCTCGTTGGGAAATTGTGCTATGGCTTTGCAAGATGGGATTCGTACATGGAGAGAAACTGGAGGAAGGCACAAGGGATCTCTCCGTATTATTTCTTACAACTGTACATGAATCTACAATTATGTCAAAATAAAAGGTTTAACTTTTAAAAAATGATGTTTGTTATTGCAGAGCACACAGGGTCAAGCCTTTCTCCTGGGAGGAACCTGGCCCCTTGGTGAAATTCCCAGCAGGAATAGCTGTGCCTGAGAAAGACTTCTTAATGAATTCCTTTCACTTGCAGGGGTGGGGGAAGGGGGACCAGCTTTGCCCTCCACAGGGACATTCGGGACATTTTAAAGTGAATGAAAGGAGCAAGGTCCCTCATTAAGGCTGAAATGGGAGCTGCTGGGGACGGGGGTTCTCTAGAAAGGAGGACTGACCCCAGGTCTGCATTTCCTGCGACAAGGTTATCACATTAACAGTAATCACTGCTCCTTCCTCCATCCAAGAGCAGATTGTAGAGGAAAGCACGGGAAAGCAGATCTTTACCTGTTGTTTTTGCTAGTGACCAGGTTCTTGATAAAACTGAAAAATTGTAAACACCTAAATAGGCGACTGCGGGAATTGGGTATGGCATTATATTGTTGCTCAGTAGAATATTATGTAGCATTTTATGATGATGTTGATAGCATTTATAAACAAAGCCAAGAATGGCACTGTCTGAAATTTTGAGGTTTTTTTTAGAAGGCTTGGATTCTTCTCCTTGCAACTGAACGGAGGTGGGAGGAAAGCAGGTTTCTCCTAGAGCCTGGTCAGGGAAATGAAACTGCGACCAGGTTCGTGTTGAAACGCTCATTTCTGGGCATTCTCGGAGAGGTCCGTCAGGATCTAGTCTCTCTCTACCTTGCAAGTTTGTCCATCCTCGGGCTCTTTAGAACCCAGGAAGTCAGAACATAACATCCCTTGATACTTCCAGGAATTTTTCCTAAAGAAATAATTAGGTGTAAAGAAGAATTGTGTACAGGAATGCTTTATTGCCGTGTTCTTTTTGTAAGATGGAAAAATTGTAGTAATACCAGCAAGCACTTAGCAAGCACTTGGTTATTGTGGGCCAGTGGCTCTCCGAAGTGTTTTACAAGCTTTGTATCATTTCATCTTTTCAAGTAGGTTCTATCATTGTCTCCATTTTTACAAATGAAAAAAGAAATCGAGGGACAGAAAGCTTAGTAATGTTGCCCAAGACAACATTATTAGTAAGTAGGGCATACAGACACAATGAGAACAATTAACACAATGTGACAAACATTAACAGAAAATAATGAGTGACAATAAGTAGACAAGGCAAAGTATTGTCATTACACATGTGTGTTCAGGTGCTTAACAAAGCCATGTGCATGGTAGGCATTTAAAAATGGAAAAAATGAAATAGAAGTAAAACATTTTGGTATAAGGAATATAATCAATACTGTTGTCATAACTTTGTATGGTGACAGATAGTAACTATACTTATTATGGTGAGCATTTTGTAATGTATATAAATGTCAAATCAGTATGTTGTACACCGGAAATGAATACAATACGTCAACTACACTTCAATAACAAATAAGTAACAAAAATGGTTGTTATTATTTATACTTCAAACTTCAATGTGCTGAGGAATCACCTGGGAATCTTGTTAAAATGCAGATTGTGAATCAGCAGGTTGGGGTGGAGACTGAGAGTTTGCATTTCTAACAAGCTCCCAGGTAATGTCCACGCTGCTGGTCCAAGGACTATACTTGTAGTATCAGAGACTGAATAGCTTGGCCAAATGGAAGAGCCCTGGAGATGCTGAAAGAAACAAATCACAGAAAACCCAGTGACCCGTGGTGCGGAAAAAGATCGGAAGACAGTCACTGTGTTGGGGCAGCAGTTACCAGTGAATTTCTTCCCATTTCTCTATTTTTTTTGTCACATGGACCAAGTCACTTCCACAAATATTTATTGAGTGCCTCAACCCCAGTCACTGTGGGAACAGAAATGAAGGAAATCCAGTGGTTTCCTCAAGGATGTTTAAAAAAAAAAAATGTTAAAAATAACTTAAACTGTGAGCATTTCTTTGTATATAAATTATACATCAAAAAAGTGGACACTTAGAGATATGAATAAATATAGTGCCCTGGCAAGGATCTTTTTAAAAAAGTTAAGAATAGTTTAAAATAAAAATTCCTGGAATGGGAGTCAGGGGGCCTAAGTGCAGTCCCTGTCTGCTAGTAACCTAGAGTTTACTCTCTTCCAGGTACCTTGGATTTAGACAAGTGCCCTGTATACATTCTCAAAGCACTTTGTATTCTTGACATCAGTTAATAATTTCACACAGGTGAGTTTCACATGTGTGTGACTGCCAGCCTGACTAAACTCTGGCTTTTCCCAGGCTGGCACTACATCTGGTTTTGTCCCTCTGGTGTCGCAGCACCTGATATGGCATTTGTCCCACAGTAGGCACTCCATAGTGCCTTTTGAATGAATGCATGAATGAAATAATGACTCATGCACCTAGTGAGCACAGGAGGAGCCTAGCTGTTGACAGTGCTGAGAAATTCATACTCCTGCATTATAATGTCAAAATGTTACAAGTCCATTAATAAAACTGTAATGGAAGGAAGGAAGGGAGGGACGGAGGAAGGAACGAAGGAAGGACTGACTAAAAGGGGAGAGGTTTGGCTTCTTAGACAGAAGACATTCCCTTCATACCTGTCCAGAAGGGATTTTTAGGGAAGGGTAGAGAAGAAAGCCTAGTGGGGAAAGCCAGCCAATCCTCCCATATTCCTCTACCCCAGATTTCTAGCCATGTGCTCCCTACCCTCAAAGCTGGGTGCAGGAGTAGGTGTGGGCTTGGGGGTCAGGTCCTGGATTCCAGGGAGCATTCCTTGGTTATCTCATCTGTCCAGGGGATCAGGGTAATACTCACCTGGGACTGCAAGAGGTCCTTGGGAAGAGAGAGCAGGGGGGTTGCATGATGAACACTGTCCCAATAATCTACCCTCACCCGCCTGAGCACTGCACTCCCTGGCACTATTACAGTCCTTGCTCTTCTTTGGGTCAGTATCCTCTTCTCCAGAGGTTCTCAAAGCACAGTCCCTGGGAACTTATTGGAAATGCAAATTCTCAGGCTCCACCCCAGGCCCTTCGAATCAGGTACTCTGGGAGTCCCAGCAATCGGCATGCAGCAGCCTTCCAGAAGACGCTGATGTAAGGCCGAGTTTGAGACCTCTCTTCTGCTTTTTTGTAAGTTCTCTCAGGGCCACTCGCCCTGCGATGTTCATTTCTCTGTTCCCAGGGCTTGGCATACGTTTTGTAGGCTTGCAATGAGCATCTGCTGAACGCATGACAACTATAATAGTGATAGCAGCTAGCTATTGATTGAGGACCTCTTGTGTGCCAGGCGCTGTTCTAAACGTAAACAGCCACTCCTGGCTAGACCTGGAATCATTTTATAGATAGTGAAACTGAGGCTCAGAGAAGCCAAGCTCTGTGTCCAGGGGTCACCCAGCGGGAGATGCGGTAGGGAATCCCGCGTTTGGCCATTCTGCTCCGCGGGGCTCTCCTCTGGGCCCAGCTGCAGCGCGCGCCGAGGCCCCGCAAGGCCGCCCCGCCCCGGGGTCCGCGCACGTCCGCGAGGGCATCTTCGCCCCGCACCCAGCCGGCCGAGGGAGGAGCGCGGCGGCGGGGCGGGCCGTGGCGAAAGTGCGGCTGCGGAAACGCGGCGAGGCCGGCGGCTGCGCAGGAGGAAGCCGCTGGAGGCGGCGAGACCTGCGGGGACGCCATGGGCCGCCTGCACTGCACGCAGGACCCCGTGCCCGAGGCCGTGGGCGGCGACATGCAGCTGCTGAACCAGCTGGGCGCGCAGGTGGGCCGGGCGGCCGAAGCGCGGGGGCGCGGCGGCTGCAGGGCGGCGGCCCGGCGGGGCTTCGGAGAGCGGAGGGAGGGGATGCGGGCCGGGCCGCGGGCGTCTGGTGTGGGTTGTGGCGTTAGGGGGATTCAGGGAGGGTCTATGGGGAATTGGAGTGTAGCGTAAAGCGAGTTTTGGGGGTCGAGAGATCTCGGGAGGCCTAAGGGCAAGCCGAGGGGTCCTAGGGTGGTTGTGGGGACCCAGAGGTGAGACTTCCGGGGGGGCCTGGGGACGAGGAGAGTTTTCGGGTCTAAGAAGAGGGACTGAGGTGAGCCTTGATGAGGCTGAAGAGAGTTTGGGGAACTGAGGTAATAGCAAACTAAGGGTGGGGGAGCCTGAGGGAGTTTGGGGGAGCTGCGGAGTTTGGTGGGCCAGAGAGGGACTGAGACGTTTAGTAGGGAGGCCAAGGGGACGTGGGGAGACTAGGAGGGTCCCAGCATCCACAGAGCGGCGAGGGGAACCTGTAGTGGAGGCATGTAGTCCGGAGACCTATGTGGTGCGTGGCCAGGCCAGAGTGGGGCTGTGGGGGCTGAGCGCGCCGAGTCTCAGGCGAGGCAGTGATGACAGCTCCTCCGCCCGCCCATTAAGGGGAATGCCCTTTAGTTCCCAAAGAAAGAAACTACGAGCTAAGCAGTGGAGGGTCCTTCCCTGGTGATAGTAGAGCTGGCAAAAAAAGAGCCGTTGCTCCTTTTTCCGGCAGCAGGTGCCAGCCTGGCAACTTTGAGGGCTTCCTGCCCTTGTGCTGGCTGGGATGCCCCTGGGATATCACCAGGACAGCCAAAATCGGTTAATGACTCTTCTCACCACAGCTGTAAAGGTGCATCTCTTTCCCCCACTGGGTTGTAACCTCCGAGGAGGTGGGACCCCTCTCTTGTTTGCCAGCATCCCCCACAACTTAATGCTTTCTCATAAAACAACACTAATTAGAATGCCTGTTGTGTTCTAAGGCTGTGGTGTCCAATAGAAATAAATTGCAAGCCACATGCCTTATTTTACATTTTCTAGTAGCCACATATAAACATTGAAAGGAAATTAATTTTCATGTTTTCTTTAAGCCACTGTATTGAGGTATATCATTTCATATTGTTTATATGTAGTCCATATAAACAATATCAATGAGATATTTTACTTCTCAGTACTATGTTTTCTGATTCTAGGGTGTATTTTGCATTTACAGCACTTCTCAAATGAGAAAAGCCCTTTCCAAGTGTTCAATAGCTACATGTGGCTATTGGCCACTGTATCATACAGCATGACTCTTCTAAGTGCTTTTATATATATTATTAAGTTACTGAGTCTTTGCAAGCACTCTAGGAGGTAAGTTCTATTATTATCCCCATTTTACACATGAGGAAACTAAATCACAGTGGTTAAGTAAAAACAGCTGTCATTTATTGAGCATGCACAGTGTGGCAGGCACTATTTTAAGTACTTTATGTGTAACAACACCAAAAGGTAGGTGCTATTATTGTTCCCATTTTACAGATAAGAAAACTGGTTCAGAGAAATAAATTGACCTGTTAAAGGTCAGGCAGCCAGGAAGTGTTGGAGCCAGGAATTCAGGACTGGATGCCTGACTTTGGATCCTGGGGAATTAAACACACTAGAACAGAGTTTTGTAGATGATCTTCCCAACCAGGTCACCTAGCTTTTACTTGTTTATGTGATGGGGTTTTCTGGAAAACTTCCATCTGGAGAATAAAGAAGATTCTGTTGCTAAAAACAAAATCCTTTTTTCAGCTACCAGATTGTATGATCCCCAAGGTTAACTCCAATTTGGTAGTCATGGAAAATAAAAACTACTTCCTTTAAGATCAGAGCTTGATTCATATTCTAACTTTGGTGTACAGTAAGCATTCAAAAAATACCCACTAACTGAGCAATAAATGGTGATGCCAACATTAATACAATGATTCTTTTTCTCCTTGAGGCCTAGACCTCAGACTTTAAAATAAATTGAGAGGATACTCCAAGAAGTTTGATATCCACAAAAAAAAACTCTTGAAACACACTTAGCCTTTACCTTTGTTTTTAATATGGAAAGCTTTTTCCTGATGAGCAATTACTGGAGTCCTTTGCGCCATATCGTTTACTTTTGTTGGATGATTGAACTTCTTTTGAATACCCACTTTATTCAATTTATTTTGAAGTCCGAGTCCTAGGTCTCAAGGAGAACAGAAATTACTGTATGAATGTTGGCTTCACCATTTATTGCTCATTCAGTGTTTATCTGAATGCTTAGTGTACACCAAATAGCCACTAAACCCACACGGCCTCTTGTGCTGGGAAGTTGTGATCTGTCGGGCAGGTCAGAAAAGGGAGACACAATACAGTACTAAGTATACCTAGTACCCTCTGGTGCCTGGGGTCAGTTCTAGGTAATGTGGAACCTTGAGAATAGGTAGGATTAAAATATAATCATTTTTAGAATATGAGAGGAAATTTAGAAAGCTATAAAGAAGAAAGTAAATGGTCTACAATCCTCTTGCCTAGCTATTAATGAAAGCAACACACATGGTTAGAAAATTCAAACAGTATTTGAAGGTATGAAATTAAAATAATGTACCTGTTTCTCTTGTCTGCAGAACTCATCATTTAAGTAGTTTCTTGTGTATCTTTATAGAAAAAAATTCTGTACCTGCCAGTGTATGTATGCATATCCTTCAAAAAAAGTTTTTAAAAAGGGATTGTGCAATATTCCTTGAAATGGATCTATGTAATTTATTTAACCAGTCCCCTATTACTAAACACTTCAGTTGCTTTCAGTTTTTGTTTTTATGAACAATGATGTCAACAAACTGCTCTGTGTAAATGTGTCTGGGTTTACTTTTTGGAACATATCTAAGGGTTTACTTCTTGGAATGGAATTACTAGGTCTATTATTATGGTTCTTTAAAAATTAGACATGGATTGCCAAACTGCCGTTCAGAACATTTTATCCTGTCATCAGCAGTGTGAGCATGTCTGTTCCTTGTGCTTTTTTACCAGCACTGGTGTCGTCAAACTTTTATTTTTGAAGATCTGATAGGTGAAAGATGGTATCTCCTAGTTTTACTCATCTGCATTTCTTATCTGGAATGATCTTGAGCATCTTTTCGTATGTTTACCGGTGAGAATAGTTAAGATTTTGATTTGTGGATAGTTAGGGCAGGTGAGCATTCCAGGGAGAGACAGCTATGCAGTACAAAGGCAAAGAATGGGGAAAGTGTTTAGGGAGGATTTATCGAACACATACTTTACACTTAAAATAATTAAGGTGCTGTCCCATACCAAGCCATACAAAGAGCCTTCTCTTCTAGATTATGTTCCTTATCAAGATTAAAAATTCTGAAGGCCCCCAGGCCAGGTTCTGAGAGGGAGCCTCAGAAGTTAAGAATCTGGGTAGGTCCCTTTCTTGTTGGGAGTGTCATGGTACCTTGGGAGGGCTTTGAAGGATAAGGAGGGTTTGCGGAAGTGGAAATAGGGATGGGGGCCATAACCTTAGCTTTAGGCCTCTCTTTAGAGGAGAGATAGGAGATGAGAACTCACCAGAAGGTTGAGCCTGAATGCTGGACTAAGGCCTAGAACTGGAAAAGCAGCTGGAGAGCCTCTCAACTGCCCCATTTTTTCTTAAAGGCCATTGATGGCACAGAAAATAGAGTTGGCTAGAGCTCTGACAGTTTACAGATTTGCAGCAAAAAAAAAAAATTAAGGAAATAAAGGAAAACTCACAAACAGTTGGAGGACATGTTTGTAAGCCAGTCCTGACTGTTCTTGTTCTTATTATATAGAATCAGCGGTTACGCAAGGCTAATACCCATGCTAATGCCAATGCTGCAGAAAGACCACCCCTGGATCAGCATTGGTTAAAATGTTTCCAGAGAATATCAGTGAAATTTTGAGAAAACAGACACTTTTATGCCATTGGCTGGTAGGAGTATAAATCTGTGCGACTTCTTGCAAAGCAATTTGGTGACATTTCTCAGAATTTAAAATGCACATGTCCTTTGGCCTAGGATACATTTTAAGAATTTATCTTATAGATGTATATGTCACAAAGAAATGTGTGGGAGGATACTTATTGCAGCATTGTTGATGATAATATCAAAACACAAACACACTAGTGTTCATCTCTAGGAAGCTAAACTATACTATGTCTATGCAGTTGAATGCCATGCAGTTATTAAAAGAAGTAGATAGATTTATATCTGCTGACATGATTGTTCTCTAAAATCTAATTGAGTGAAAAAAGGCAAGGTGCAGGGAGAAATTTCGGTATGATCCTATTTGTATTTAAAAGAAATGAAAATAAAATGAGCAGAATGCCACAGAGGTGTTAGCAGTAACTACCTGTGGGGAGCAGGACTGACGTATGGGGGCAAGGAGAGAGAGAGACATTTTATTTTATCTTTTATACTAGCTGGGTCTTTTCAGAAACTTGCACATATATATACTTTTATATTTTTGAAGACTACTTTCATATATTAAGATAAAATACATCTCAGAATAAAATAAGACAGCACTTGCTGTGGCTTTATGTGGAGTTCAGGGTGTTACAGCAAAAGGGACAGATGTATTTGACAATCATATTACACATACAACTTTGGGAACTTTAAACTGAGGTATCTGCCTATAATCTTTTCTTTTTTTAATGTTGTGGTGTTTTGGGAAGGTGGATCCAGTGGTACAGTGACTCTGGTAATGGCTGTGATCATTGCTGCCATGTGTTTAGCCTCTAGTCTGGCACTGTGCTGGAGGCTTTGCATGTGCCCCCTTTCGTACCATTCTGGGAGATAGGTGTTAATACCTTTGTTTTCCCTATGGGAACTGAGACAGAGAGAGGCTAAGGGACTGACTTGCTCAGAGTCACATGGGTGGGCAGTAGCAGAACATTGATCCACATCTGGATCTTTCAAAGTCTTGTGTCCTGATTTTCCCTACTGTGCCACACACACACTGTTCACTAGGAAGAAACATGGAAAAATATTGATACGGGTCTCAGATTCCTTGGGCCTCCATGACAACATACTGCAGCCTGCATAGTTTGAACAACAGAAATCTATTTCTCACAGCTCTGGAGGCTGTTAAGTCCAAGATCAAGGTCCAAACAGATTTAGTTCCTGGTGAGAGCTCTCCTCCTGGCTTGCCTTAATGCTGGGTGCCTGTGACATATACCTCTCAGAGAGTGAGCTCTGAGGTGCCTTCCTCTTCTTACGAGGGCACCAGCCCTATTAGATTAGGATCCCACCCTTATGACCTCATTTAACCTTTGTCACCTCCTCACAGGCCCTATCTCCACAAATAGGAATTTAGGGGTTAGAGTTTCAACATACGAATTAGGAAAGGGGTTGCAGATGTTCAGTCCTTCAAATGCAGTACCTATAAAGAGAAGAGTCCATGCATAAGAGACTAAGAGACAGTTCTGAGATCATGTATAATAAAGTGTTAAACTTTACCCTTTTGTCATTTACATAACAAATATTGTGGGAAAAAAAACAGATAATATGGATAGACAAAACAGAAGAAAATAGAAATCACCCCAAATCTCACCACAGAGAAGAAAATGCTTTAAAAATCAAGGTAGAGAGAAAGTTTGTATAGTATGTTATCATTTGTGTGGGGAGAAAAGAAGAGAAATTTTTATATTTGAAATGGCTATGTTTGAATAATAAACATGTGTAAATATAAATGAAAAGAAAAAAGGAACAACTGCTGTGAATGTCTGGTGAGTTGCCCTTTTAGGCCTTGGGGGTGGGGGAGCTGTGTGTTTATATTCGGACCCTTGAGGTGGACTTGTCCCGGTATGTGCACACACTCACATTCTCAGTACATATCTCCCAAAAATCCCAATAAAACAGGTGAGTTTTTCAGACAATATGGTGATGCAGAGATACTGACACTGGTGGTGGGGATTGTGAATATTGTAACTTTAAGATGGTCAAAACAGGTATCAACACCTGTGTTCTTCTCTCTTATGGGTCTGTAGTTGGGTAGAATCCCAGACCAGAGTTTTCCTAATGTTCTGTGTTACTCTCTTCACAGCAGTTCTCAGACCTGACAGAAGTGCTTTTCCATTTCCTAACTGAGCCAAAAGAGGTAATGTATCTTGTGTCTATTAGGGTTCGCAAGTTGTGGGTGGGTCTACTGTCTTGAGATGCTTAGAAAGGAAAGGCCTGGTTTGTGCTGTTCCCTCTGCAGGTGGACCGGTTTCTGGCTCAGCTCTCTGAATTTGCCACCAACAATCAGATCAGTCTCGGCCCCCTCAGAAGCATTGTGAAAAGCCTCCTTCTGGTTCCAAATGGTGAGTAGTCTCTCAGCAGCTGAGGCCAGGGATATTGTACTTGAACATTCCTTTAGTCCACAGAGTCGGCAATTGTGCTCTGGGCGCTGAGCCAGAGCATTCAGTAGCGATCCAGACATGGGTGAGACTCGCAGTCTAGGGAGAGAAGCTAGGTAGACAGATAACTGTGATAGAGTATAATGGAGGTACAGCTCAAAGTGCAGAGTGCATCCTGGCTCCCACACTGTTATCTGGCCCTCTACATGATAAGAACAGAAATTAGGAGTAAGCATTTAGAAGCTTTTATGGCAATTTGACAGTCTCTTGAATCTACTGATTTTTAAAAATGGGGCTTGTATATTTTTTAATGTGGCAAAATATACATAACAAAATATACCATTTTAACTATTTGGGGCATATTTTTGCATGGGTTTTTTCATTTCATATTTCTAGGAATTAATTTTCACTATATTTTACAAAAGTTATCAGTCCACAATGGATTGATATATAACAGATAGGTCTCCCACCATAGATGGTTTGAGAAGCAGAGTTTGCCTAGAGCAATCAGGAAAAGTTTCTAGCAGGGAGGGAGGTATTCACAAACATTTAGTTGTAGAAGAATCCATCACAACACTTTACGACAGAGAAAAATTAGAGACAAATTACCCTGCAGCTAGAGACTGGCATAATGAGCTGTGGTCCATCCTTACAGGGGAACATCCATTGTGGTAAAAAGAATTCATGGTTCTGAGTTAGGTGTACCTGGGTGTGAATCCCAGTCTGTCACTTGCTAAGTAGTGTGACTTGGGCCAGCACCTGATCTGTCCAACCCCCAGCACCACTCTCTCCCTAGCACGTTTTAGCTTTTCCACCCCATCTTAGCTTTTCTTTGGTGGGTGTGGAGGGCTTGTTTAGAAGAGTATTGAGAAAATAAGATACTTAGCAGGTACCTCGGTAAAAGGCTTTTATTATTTTCAAATTATGTAGTGATTTTAAAAGATACTGTTGAGGAAAATGTAATGATATGGAAAACCTTTCACAATACACAGTTGTAATTTGCAAACCTGTCTACCGCAATCCTGTGTTTGCAAAAAGAAATAAATAATGCTAACTGTGGCTATGTCTGGGTGGTAGAACTATAGATTGTTTTGTTTATATTTGGCTATGTACTGTTGCTCAGATTTATTTGGCAATTTAATTAAAGTTAATTTTATTTAAAGAGAGAGGTGAGATTTGAACCCAACCAGCTGACCAGGCTGAGAGGAGGTAAAACAGCATTCCTGGGTTTACATACTCTAAAATTTAGTAATAACCTGATTTTTCCAAGCTCTCAACCCAATGAGGTGGGGGCTTAATTTGCTTGTACCCCTCAGGCACCTTCCTGTATCTTAGTGTAGATCCTTTCCTTTGTCTGTCACTTGTTTCTGAGGTTCTAGGGTCTTAAATCAGAACATCTCTGAGGTTTCCAACTATGAAATCTTACGTCCTCTGTTTGTGTGATTCTTGCATTTTTTGCCCTCAGGGCAGGTTAAGGTCTCGTGAACCACACGTTGGATGGGAATTTGCAGTCTTTTTGAATGCAGAAATAAATTTTCATTGCAAACTTGCAACAGTGCAGAGCTCTGAAAAGCCAAAAGTGAAAAGCTCCTTTAACTCTCATCCTCCTCTTATTTCTTGACACAATCACAATATAATCCTGGTGTACATCCTTGTATATATATTTTTTTATTTTTTAAACAGCTTTATTGGGATAGAATTCACGTGCTGTATGATTTACCCATTTAACGTGTACAATTCAATGGTTTTTAGATCTTCCCAAGGTGTACATCCTTCCTGACACTCAATTTTAGAACATTTCATCAGCTCAGAAAGAAACCCTGTGCCCATTAGGAGTCAATCCCTGTCATCCTTGTGTATTTGTATGTGCACTGACTGACATACACATATATGTTCATGTAGTTTTGTTTTTCATAAATGGTAATAAACTGTAGAAGTGCTCTGCAGCTTGCCTTTTTTCATACCTAGTACATCAGGGAGATCTCTCCACATCAGCTTCATTCTTATGGTTGTGGTGTGCCAAGGACTGACTGAATCTATCTTCTTTTAGTTAATCCTTTCCTGTTACTGGATGTTTTAGTTGCTCCGACTTTTCACTCTCAGAAACGTACTGTTGTGAACTTGCCATGTACTCATGTATGCGAGCATTTTTGTCGGATTGGTGTCCCGATGCAGACCCCAGGTCTTTATTCTCATTTTCTGGCCTACACCTGTGGGGTTTGTCTGCAGGTGGAGACCTGTCTATCCAGTAGTTGTTGTGGACACTGATTTTCCTCTGGTTTCTCACAAGAGACCTGTCGTGTCCCTGCCTCTATTCTTGCCTATCTTTTTCATCTCTTTTCCCTACGCAACTCCATCCTGCCATCCTGCCTGCAGCCCTTCCAGCCTTGAGCTCCAGCCCCTGTGCTACCTCCTACAGAGAGCCTTCCCAGACCACTGCAGTACACCGTGACCTCCCCTTCCTCTCAGCTCCAGAGAGATGTTTTTTATCTGCAGTTATCATGTTGGACCACAAGGATTTATGGTTTTCTATTGTTCATGCTATTTTGTATGTGTCTATCTTGTGGCTTTAACAGATAGCTAGTTCCTTGAAGTCAGGGGAGGGTCTTGTACTTTTTTCCTGAGCCACAGTTACAAGTAATGATATAAATCAGGTGCTGAGTACATTTACTAAGTAATTAGTATTAGTACACTTGAGATCCTGTGACCTGCCAGGGCATGTTGGGTGTATATTTTTCAAGCTGGATTGATTGTATCAGTGTTTAAAGCAGATAGTTTTCTATAGATGCAGAGAACACCGGGGAACTCAAAACATACTAATCAAGAGGTGGGCTTTGCAGGCTTACTTGAATTTGAGTGTTGATCACATCACCTGTGTAGCTGTTTGATCTTAGATAAATCAACCTCTTGGAGCCTAAGTTTCGTATCTGAAAAATGGAGTAATTAGAGCAGTTTATAGTGGTGGTGTGAGGAATAAATGAGTTAATGTATGTAAAGCATTTAATATAGTGCTTGCTAAGCTTTAGCTTTATTTATTGATAATTCAGTTAATTTCATTCTTATGCCTCCATATCAGATTTTGAAATAAAACTTTCCTTCACCTAATGGAAAGGATTTGAATTTGCCTCTTGACTGTTTAATGTGCCAAAGCTTTTCAAACTACAGAATTGAAGTCTTGGGTTTGCTGTAGTTCTCAGAACTCCACAATTTCTGGGGTTTTTGGTTTTTTGTTTTTTATTGTTGTTCTTATGGCAGTCTGACTTCTGCAGTTTTCTTGCTCAAATTCTCCACTTCTTCTTGAGCATCTCCTCAGCACCTGAGTATAGTGTGTTGTCTCATGGCCTCTTCATCCTTTGGCCTTGTGTGTCATTTTCTTTCCAGGCCAGAGGCTGCCATCCCAGAACAAGTTCTTAGTCCTTCATGCTTTACTATGGCAGTTCTGTTCTCCCACCCCAAATTCCAGCTTGCCCTGGAGTACTTAATTTGGCATTCGAGGCCTTTCCCAGGGTAATCTGAAATGTAAGGGCCCTCAGGCCCTCACCCTCTTCCTTTTCCTTCAACCTGGTTCTGCCTGTGGGTTTAAAACCTCGTAGAAGTACAGCTTGTTAGAGCAGAAGGGGCCTCCAGAACCCTCCAGGTAAGTCTTCCCCAAATTGATATTTTCATCCACAAAAGGTCAGACAGCGGCAGCGGTTACTGTCCATCCACCCCAGCCCTGGAACTTCGGAGAGTCACACACACACATTCCCATATCTCAGGCTCTGAAAAATCCTGCAGTAAAAAACCCAGCTTATCCAATATATTGTGAAACAGGTAACCACAGAACCCTTTTTTTTTTTGGCAGGGAGGGTCAAGTAAAAGCTTTGTGAAGTGCAGGGCTAGCCCAGTCTTTGTCTTGGAGATAAAGAAAAGAGTCTTAAAGAGAAGAAGTGACTTAAGATCTTACAGTGGAAAAGCTGGGGCTAAAACTTCTCTTGATTGGCTTCAAGTCTGGTGGTGTTTTTTTTTTTTTTTAATGTTTTTCTTTTACTATTTAGTAATTCTTAAAAGCACCTGATCTCAACAATTACTAACCTATAACCAAATTGTTTCATATGTACCCCACCCACTTCTCACTGCTCTCCAAACTGGAATATTTTAAAGCAAATCTCAAACATCGTATCATTTCATTCCTAAATACCTAGTTATGTATCTCTAAAAGGTACAGGACTTTTTTCCCTTACCAAAGCACAATGCCATTTCAAATCTAAAATTTTAAAGTGCGGTCAATGTTTAAATTTCTCCATTGCCTCATGCATTTTGTTTATTTATAGTTGTTTGTTTCATCAGGAACCAGGGAGGGGACCCCACATTGCATTTGGTTGCTAGATGGCCCTTGTATGCTTTCTTGCCACTGTGGCTGCCCAACAGCTTTGAGATCTTGAGCCAAATTACTTAATTCTCTGAGACTCAGTTTAAAAAAATGGAGCTTCTAATACTAGCTCAAACACTGTTATAAGATGGAGAAGGATAATGTATTGTGCTAACTCCAATAAGAGGCAGCTGAACTGCTGCTAATATTATAGCTGTCGTGACTGTGAGTTGTCTCCTAAACACAAATAACGCCTTGATTACAAATGTATGGCACTAGGGTATTTAAGCCTAGTTTTATTTTAATATTTAGCAAGATACCTGGCCCTTGTGGGTGCTCAGTAACTAACTGATTTTTAAGAACAGGTGATAACTACCTCCTATAGTCCTGAAGTTCTTTCTGGTTGGGAAAAAAGATTAATTCACATTGAATAATATCACCAGTGGTATTTAATCAAGTTTTGAACCAAATTCCCAGGACTGCAGCCTCCTCAACCCGCTGTAACTTTTCTCTGTGATACTTGCCAGTGATACTCTGTGTGGCTTACTTATTTGTTACATTATTGTTATAGTCTTTCTCTTCCCAATAGAATATAAGCCTCATGAGGGCAGAG